CGCCGACAATACGAAAAAAAAGTTCACCGATGAAGATTTCTGAAGAAAAAACAAGAATAGCCGGTTACTGCGCAAGTAGCACAGAAAATTTCGACCACTGTCTTAAGAAATAAGAAAAAAATTTTCAAACTCGGTTGTTTATCTGCGTGCTGTGATAAAACGATCTGAACAAACAACTAGAACTTCGGCAAATTCGACCGTCCTAGTAAATTAGGCAAATTGGACAAAATTTTGGTAAAATTGACTAGAACAAACAATTCATAAAAATCAAAATTCAAATTTTTTAATTTTTGAAATTTTTGATTCCCAAAATGGCGCTAAAACAAACTTCATTCAAGTAAAATCAAGTTTTCGTAGCCAAAAAAAATCAATCTAGGCAGGCATATTTAAAAAAAAACTAAATTCGTCTGGATTCGAACTCAACACTTTAGGTTCCAAAGGCACGCGCTTTACAACTTGACCAGTGCGAATACACTTGGAGGTTGCTGAGATTCCATAATAAAAAAAACTATATTAATGTTTCACCGTGCAATTTGAAAAACAAAATCCACTGACGAAAATTATACTAATATTTTACCGACAATACGAAAAAAAATTCACCGATGAAGATTCCTGAAGAAAAAACAAGGATAGCCGGTTACTGGGCAAGTAGCACAGAAAGTTTCGACCACTGTCTTAAGAAACAGGAAAAAAAACTTCAAACTCGGTTGTTTATCTGCGTGCTGTGATAAAACGATCTGAACAAACAACTAGAACTTCGGCATATTCGACCGTCCTAGTAAATTAGACAAATTGGACAAAATTTTGGTAAAATTGACAAGAACAAACAATTCATAAAAATCAAAATTCATATTTTTTAATTTTTGAAGTTTTTGATTCCCAAAATGGCGCTAAAACAAACTTCATTCAAGTAAAAGCAAGTTTTCGTAGCCAAAAAAAATCAATCTAGGCAGGCATATTTAAAAAAACTAATTTCGTCTGGATTCGAACTCAACACTTTAGGTTCCAAAGGCACGCGCTTTACAACTTGACCAGTGCGAATACACTTGGAGGTTGCTGAGATTCCATAATAAAAAAACTATATTAATGTTTCGCCGTGCAATTTGAAAAACAAAATCCACTGACGAAAATTATAACAATCTTTTGCCGACAATACGAAAAAAAATCACCGATGAAGATTCCTGAAGAAAAAACAAGGATAGCCGGTTACTGGGCAAGTAGCACAGAAAGTTTCGACCACTGTCTTAAGAAATCGAAATTTTTTTTTTAAAACTCGGGTTGTTTATTTGCGTGCTGTGATAAAACGATCTGAACAAAAAACTAGAACTTCGGCATATTCGACCGTCCTAGTAAATTAGGCAAATTGGACAACATTTTGGTAAAAGTGACTAGAAGAAACAATTCATAAAAATCAAAATTCATATTTTTTAATTTTGAAGTTTTTGATTCCCAAAATGGCGCTAAAACAAACTTCATTCAAGTAAACCTGTTTTTCTGAGTGAAAAGGCTTTATTATGACATATTATTCGACCCATTCCCATTATTATTTTGATACCTGATGTTGCATGGAAAACTAGCACACACCCGAATACAAATTTGCTCCCCATTATCAATGGCCGGACCACACGCCCAAGTGACATGTTCATTGACGCTAACAAGTGAAAAAATGACGATAATACGATTAATTTGATTTTCTTTGTGATCACTTGATAATAAAAATTGTTAATTGCCCTTTTCAATATTTGCTTTCTAAATTAAACCACTAATCACAATAACTGAAAGATCTAGAAAATTAATTATATGGTCTACGAAACAATCTTTACTTTGCGATCGATCCAGATTAAAGTTTTGATTGAAATTTGTGATTTTAATATGTATTAGGTACAGGGGCGAAGCGGAACAAACCACCACATGTACGCACAAACATCACGCACTTGAAAAAACATAAGTAGAAAAAAATAAGAACTGTTGGAAACCAAAGTTGATAAACCAAAATTTTACTATGTCTCGATAGAAAAACTAGAGGCCCAGCTTAAAACTCGAGCTACCTGTTTGATAATTTTTGTATTTGCTATATTGATGTGGGATGAAATAGGTAATTTCAAAATTTCAGAAAAAGAACTTTGCCCAAAACCTTAGTTGTCTCTCCACTAAAAAAAGAAATTTCTGAGACATTCGAATTTTCTCAAGGGCAAAACAACTCTCTCTTAGTTGTCTCTCCACTAAAAAAAATAAGAAAAATTTAAGACATTACAATTTTCTCAAGGACAATACAATTCTCTTAGAAAAAATTGGCAACAAAGACTGGCGGCCTCCGCAGGAAAACTCCGCAAGCAAAAATGGGGCGTGGCTGCAGGTAGATTCCCATAACTGGGTTTCTCAAAGGAACACTTGAGCTAAGAATTGGCAGGGTAGTTTTCGCGGAAACGGTTTACGAAAATTCAGTTTACGAAAATTCAAAAAATGGTTTACGAAAATTCGAAAACTTGACTTTTCTGAAGGCGATAATGTTTTGTGTATAGAAATTTTGGAGTGGCAGCTATTACATAGGAGCATTCTACAACCACTATTCTCGCTTGAACCTAAAATCTAAGGTTTGGGAGGGTAGTTTTCGAGATAAATCAAAGTTTCAAAAATCGTTCAAAGAAGAAATATTTGACTAATCCAAAGGGCATAATTCGTTTTAAAATTTGATCGTAGCCACTCAAGCATCGAAGCATTCCGTAAACCAACCTACTCTATCCATGGGAGGGAATATCTCAGATTTACGAGAGCATTTTCGAGAAAACAAAAACAGTCCAAAAAAATTGGTCAAAAACTTCCACCACAGAATTTTCGCAGGCTGGCAAACGAAAAACGGTCTTTCTATTCAAAAGGTTTTTTAAATTCAATAAAGCAATCTATGAGAACTAAAATTTTCGGAGTTAAAAAAAATCCAAAGCGTCTCAAAAAAATTAATATCAAACAAAAAATCACAACATCATACATTTACATAATACGAGTATTCATCAAATAGGAAATATTGAAAAACATGCCAAGCAAAACATTCAAACTTCAAGCTAGCATTGGAGCAAAACTTGGGAAGCAGAAGCAAAGCCGACACCATCTTTGAGCAGACACCAGAAAAACAAAAGGATTTTTATGAAATTCAAGGTCTGAACTGAAAAAAAAAAACAAGTCCTGCCGGGACTCGAATCCCAGATCAAAGATTGCAAAAGCTGCCGGATTACATCCAGGCCAAAAGGATAGGAAGCAGGAAATTCTTACAGAGGTGAAGCTGAGCTTCCCACCACTTGCGATACAAATCGTTATAAAAATCGCAAAAAAGCCAAACCTGTCTGAGAAAAAAATTACCTGCACAATTAGAAGCGTCACGAAAAACATTCAGAAAGCTAGTAAGAAGCCCAATCGTCAAAAAGTCTGCAGGATCTAGGCAGACAAAAATAAACAGACAAACGATAGTTTAAAACCGCCGAAAACTTTCCAATTGTAAACAAACACAGTAAGTATTAGACCAAATAAATTTGCCTTGCCCTAAATAGTCCGCATGTCAGTTTTCACTGAAGCGTAGCATTGCAAAGTACCAAGTCGACAAAAAATAGAAATAACTATGATGGAAAAAACTTGAAAACATAGCCAAGAGACAGTTGGAAAAGATTGAACGAATGCAAGAAAACAAAAAAATAGTGACTTGTTTTTTGAAAAAATCTCTAACTTTCGAATTTCAAAGAAAAACATAGATGCCTCAAAGCCCTGCAATTTTCTAAAACTAGTGATCATTATACTTTCGCTGTTCGATAATGGAATTTGCATTCCTTTAAGGAAATAACTGAAATTAAAAAGAAATCAAAAGTCAAACCGCGAAAAAAAAATTGACCCGACCAAACTTTAAGAGTTTTCCTGATGAAAAAACAAAAAATCATCGCGATTTATAAAAGAGTTTGATTTACGTCCATCGAATCTTAAAAAGGCAACAATTGTTTTTGAAAATACCAAAAACTCAATCTCAGAAAAACAAACGAGATATATAACCATTAGCAATAAACAAAGCTATTAATAATTACCGAGCGTCGACGAAGCCAACAACACTTGATTAGACATCAATTGATGCGAAAACAAAAAATGCCACCAAAAAATGTTGCCATAGAATAAACAATAATTTTTTGGAAACACGAAAACTTCAATCTCGGAAAACAGAAGAGAAAAACAAACACTAGCATTAAACAAGGTTTTAGTTTTTTGCCGAGCGTTCAATAAGCCGACAACACGTGATTAGCCGCCAGTTAACCCGAAAATAAAAAATGCCGAAGGAATTCAGTGTCATAAAAAAATTTAAGCGAATAAAAAGAGCTAACTTTAACTTTTATACTACCAACTGACCTGATACATTCAAAACAATAATAATCATCTTTATCCCTAAATCGATGCAAAATAAGTTCACTAAACCGACAAAACGTGAGCCAAAATCACCAAAAAATTCTGGTGAGGCAACTAATCTGTCAAAACAAAAGCCGACAAACTACAGCCCGAATTTTTCCATGAAAAAAATTAATTTCAGACACTGAAAAAACTAGGGTCCGGCCGGAAGTCGAAACTCAGAAAATAGCGTAGAGGGGCGACCGCATTACTTCCAGGCCAAGATAGAAGGGGTCTAGCAAATGCTGAGATTCGATAATAAAGCAACATCAATTTCAATAACAAATGTGTAAGAAAAGCTGTTTACGGGAAAAAAAGTTCCCGATTACAAAATACTTGCCCTCCAAGTGTAAAAAGAGGAATCAACACTTTAACTTTAACCCATGCTACCTTGTCCCCTGACAAATTGTTCTACGTTCATCATAAGCAACTCCTCGGGAAGGTTGTTTTCAGCAGATAAAAAAGCTGAGAAAATTTTAACGACTTCGTATCTGCATTGAAACAAAGGAAAGCACCGCAAAAAAATGGTTTTCAAAATCCGTACATATCTCAAAAACCCAGATCCACCGGTGAAAGAAAATCACTTATGGTACATTTGAATTACCCCACAACCTCAATGCAAACCAAAGGTTCACACTTACATTATGTACAATATTACAAATCATCGACATAATAAATCATGACATTGTTCGCAAACCCATCGCCTGCTCCTCCACTTAGCACTTTCACTGTTTTGTTTCCCAAGTCAGTCATAAACTTCGCATTGTCATCACATCTAACTTTTCCTTTCAGTGGTTCTTCCAAGACTGGAATAGTTAATGGGCCCCCAATTGGATCTTCGTACCTGTAGATACTCAGTGATGACTCATTCTTGATTTTGGACGCACGCATGATCCGCTTTTTAACTTTGTGCAGTGAATCATTCTCATACACAGGAATTTTGACTGTGAAATAACCACTGCATGGTTGCGGGTTAACGAAGTCGACCTCAAGGTGTGGCGCCGCGTAAAAATTCGACATTGGTTTGAGAGGACAACATTCCTCTCTAATTTTTTCATTTGGCGCTTCACGCGCAGGCATAATTTCAATCTCTTCCAGGTCAAGAGTCTGTTTCAAATACTCTTTGTTCAATTCTAGAATTTCAGTCTCTGAGAACAGACTTGATTGTTGAAACACTGACGCTCCCTGCGTTTGAACATCGGCTTTCACCTTTTGTGCGAATGGCATGCTCTTTTTGGCGTATTTATTTGATAAATTTAGCTTCTTTATCTTATCAGCAACCACGTTGTCCTTCGGAAAATCATTTCCATTTCCGATATACAACTCATTTAGAGCGCTGATAATTGAGTCCTGCCATTCTGGGAACTTCTCAGCAACATATACAGTTCCATGGGTAAGCTTTTCCTTCGGTGCATCCAGGGATTTTCCTTTTGGTGCCTTCGGGTTGCTTTGCTTTTGATACCAGAGCCTGAACTCATGGGCAGCGTCTAGGAGATACTGACAACTTTTGATCAGAACATCATCCACTGGTTTAGTTTCTGGCCATCGTGCTTTCAAAATTGAACCCTCCTCGCCCATGTAAGTCCAGATGTGCTCACATATATGAGGACAGATAGGTGAGAGGATCAATATTTGGTTCTTAATAAACCTTCTGGTCAAGTCCTTATGTAGCTTACCCAAACTCAGCTCCCGATAACGATCTCGACAGGCTTGAAATTCAAAGAATGCAGTTCTCAGGGCATCTTTGTAGTTCATTTTAACGAAGTGCTCCCTCGTTTGATTAATCAGAGAATCCATTTCAGTGGCAAAAACTCGATCGCAAAACAGCTCACTGTCAGGACCACCACGGGTTATCTCTTCTTCGTCTTCAACGAATTCTCTTACCCACTCCACAAACGTAAACAGCCGCAAGATAGCTGTATCTGCTACTTTCTCCAAGAAATTGGCATCCTCAATATTGTCACCAGCATCTGCAAGTGCCAATCGCATTCCGTCGGCTGAGAACTTCTTGATACTTTCATTCAGAGTCAAGAAGTTGCCAGTCTGCTTGGACATCTTTTCGTTGTTCAGCAGTAAGTGGCCATTTGCATGTATACTTTGGGGCCACAAGTTCGGCTCATCCGGCCAGATGGCAACATGGTTATACAAGTAATACGTCAAATGATTCGGAATCAGATCTTTACCCGAAACTCGCATGTCCACCGGGTACCAGTACCTGAACTCATGCTTCATTTTGGCTAGCTTATCATCCGCAATTGTCGTTTGAGGCTTCGACACGTCGTTGAAAAATATGTAGTCCCAGACATCTGGTTTCATTTCTTCCGGTTTGATGTCCAACAATCCAGGCTTTGCTCCCCTAAGGTCACTTTGTAGTAAGTGAGCAATGGTGTAGTAAGCATTGTATATTGTAGAGTCAGAGAGAGACTCAATCAGCCACGTTTCATCCCATGGTAACCGAGATCCGAGACCATACGTTCGACAGCACGCATGTTCCTGGAGCCAGTCGAGAGTTTGAACAAAATTGTTATTCACTTCTTGTGAGTAAGTATTCACGTTCGGGAGGCACTCCTCGCGCACCTTTTTTTTCCATTCAACCTCACCGTAGTCTAGATACCATTGGTCGCACAGGGCTACAACACAAACATCATTTGATCTGGACACAACGTTGCTCTCACATTCCATGTACTTCACAGCCAACTTTTGATCAATCATCAATTGTTGGACAAGTTTTTTTGCCTTCTGAACACTTTGACCGGCAAACTCTCCTACTTTCAAGACACCTTCATAAAACCCTTTCATATACACTTCTTTTTTGGCTTCAGCTAATTTATCGCTATCATTTTGAGACTGAATTTTCATTTTGTCGCTCAATGTAACAGCGGCGAGATCACCTAGCTCCGGAATATCAATGATTGCGACTGGCTCAAATGGAAGAACAGCATGATCAGGCAACCCGTACTTCTCGCGAAATGCCGGCTTCTTTTTCAGATCCTTTAGTGCCATGTAATCATCTGGAGAATCGGACGGAACACTCGTCACAACACCAGTCCCCTTGTCCTCTTTAATTGTCAACATGGGAAGAATGTACACCTTTTGGTACGAAGTCAAGGGTGCCTTGATTGCTTTTCCAAGCAGCTCCTGACCTTTTACGTCACAAAGTTTGTTAACTGTGAAACTATCGAACATTTCCTGATAAGCCATGTTGCGTGCAGACCGCGCTGTGCTGATCCAAATTTCCCCCTCTTTTGTGTTATACGCTAAATATGTTATATCTGGATGCACCCAGCAATTGGTTTGTCCATACATAGTTTCAGGCCTCAAAGTAGCAGCAACAAGATATACTTTTGATGACTCAAACTTGGTTTCTTTCGCTGCCGCAGTCACAGAAGGCAGCGAATCTAGAACCTCAATTTTAATCAATGTGTACTCGAGAGGACCAACACCTTCACCCGTTTGCCGATCATGGTCCATGCAAGGTTGGTTGTCTTTAGGGGAAAAAACTGTGTAACGCTTTCCAAACTTGATTTTCTTCCGTTCTTGCAGTTTCAGAAACTGCCACCGTACAAAGCTATCGTAATATGGATTGACATCCGTCGTGATGAAAGACCTACAATTAGAATTTCAATTTTACATATCCAAAACCCCAATCTCAGCAAAATACAGAAATGAGGTCTAAAAAAGTTACGCAATAGTAAACGTTCTTAAATGGAACTCACAAAAACTAAAGAGATCATAGAATGAACACAAGTAGCTGGCTACTGAGAAAGTAGCAGAAAATTTTCAAGTGAGGCGATCAGAGCCAAAATTCAAAATAGAGTCTTCTTTTGCCTTGCCTGAGCGGGCGGTGAGTACAATCTTTGATATGCATCTGTGCGGAGCTAAGGTGTACGTCGTCAGTCATTATATCAAGCTATGGCTACAATTGATCGTCATAAAACATTGCTTTGAAATTGAGAATGCAAGATCACTTGGCAAAACTGAGAATGCAAAATTGAAAATGCAATAGGGCCAGAGCACTTTTCTCAAACAAGTGTCGGTTTGCTTAAGAGTCTGATAATCGGAGAGTGATTGTTGATAAAGAAAAATGATCCCGTTCGACACCGAAAAATCTTATCTAAACTGACAGATGCGTTAAAAGAAAGGATCCGGAAAGGAAATTCAGCTTGAAACAGACCTCGATCTCGACTCATTGAAGGAAAATCCAACGCCAAAAACTAAATACGTGACAACGTTCTATTTCCGAAGGCTTAAAGGTTTTTTAGCAAGACCTCGCACAAATTCCTTTCCAGCAAACAATTTGGACCTAAACCCAATCGGGCATCTTTGGGATTATAAGAGGAAAATTTTGGAGCTACGATTCGCGAAATTTTTACAGAACAGGCTCATTTCATTGTTAATGCTTGGGTAAATGCTCCCTTAAGTATGCTGAAAATTCAAATTTATTCGATGCAAAGACGCAAGAGATTCTATATCCAAGCAAAGGGAGGACATTGAGTATTGAAATATCAAAAAAATGAAAACTGGTTCATTTAAAAATTTGATTGTTTATTATTTTTCTGAATAGCTTTTTTTTGCTAATTCAGGAGTCATTCTCGTCCTAATTCTAATTCTCCTTTAAACTACTATCAGATAGCTTGCGGTATGACTTTTTTCTTATTTAAATAACGTTAGAAAATTATGAATCTATCTATTTAATAGAAGCACCCGAGCTTTGGTTGGATTCGGCCAAAGTGACTTGCTTCAATGTGTAATACAAAATACACCTGCAAATATATAATATTATCTATAGTTGAAGAATTCTTGTCATGTTATTTGTATTTTGTATTACACAATGAAGTAAATCACTTTAGCCGAATCCAACCAAAGATAGATAAAGATAGTTCCAACATTGGAGTAAACTCGTAATTTGAACTATTCAACTATAGATATAGAAAATTTCACACTGAAATGTCAACGATACTAGACTTCCATCTTTTGAGAAACTTTATCTCTGGTTGAGACGAATTTTTCTGGGTTCCATCCTCAGTTTGCCGCACAAGCAAAATAAGCCTTGCGCGTCCTATTGCTAGTATCGCGAGGTGTCCCTATCTTCCCTGATGTTTTCGTTGATGTTACTGGCAGTGACAAACCGTACCCGGGTCTTTGGTTGCATACAGTCAAAACATTAAAAGGTACCAGAAACACATTCACGCCAAAAGAGCTTCATTTTAAAGCAAGATACCATTTAGAAAATTGTGCACAAGTTTGATTCCACAATAGATATCTCCTTGAGTATCCACCCTTTAGGAGATGAAGCAAATTTGGTATGTTTGTATCTCATCGAATGTTGTATGTGGTTGAGCTTTTGGTGGGAGCCCCACCCACTCCTGATCCGCACATCAGATAGCTTCGCGGTAAGGCTCTTTGAAGTATTTTGAATAATATGAACTAATCAACTATAATAATAGAAAATTCCACATTGATAATGTTAACGGCATTAAGTCTTAATTTCAGTTTGTGGACGGGTCTTACATTTAATTTCGAAAAACACTGCGATGCAAAGCAGCGGAAAAATGACAAATGATCCGACTAGTTCGCAAAAAGCACAGGTCCTGATGAGACTCAAAACTCTTTTGTCCCAAGCATGTGCTGTTACATCTGCATCAAATCGGCAGACCGAATAAAATGATATAAATTGATTAGAAGCCAAGTTATCAAATGCTTCAATGATTCTGTTCGACAAATTGCTTTTCCTTGAAAAGTCTATATTTCAATTTAAGACTGCTTGCTAATTGCAAGCCTAAAAGTCAAACAACCATTTAAGCCAAAGATCCTTTAACGATCACATAGATGCAAAGTGGAGCTTCGCGCCACTTGCTATACAACAAAAACGTAAGCATAAGAAGAAAAAATGAAAAACGTTGAAAAAATATTTCTACCGAAAGTCTCGATAGAAGTTCATTCTAGGCAAACGATCCAGATATTTGAAATTTAAATTAACAACAGAACAAAACTTATGAACAGGAAACAAAGCAGACTCTTTGAGTAGACACAAGTTAGCCCCCAAAAACTACAAGGAGCAAAATTTGCAACTATCCTGATACTTGATTTCAGCAGCACAGGAAAATCTGTGAAGCCGACAAACTTCTGAAAAATCTGGTTTCAAAAAATCGTTGAAATTTTAAGGCCCACCTGAAATTACAATGGAAAACACTTGCAATGACAACTACAATGAAAGCTGCTTTAAACACAAGAAAAACCCGTGATAAAGGCGCTAATCCGACTATCTTTGGGCAGACAATTGTTAAACCGAAAAAAAAATGATTTCGAAAAAATCAAAAATTTTCAAGTCCCACTCAGGAAAACTCTTGGTTCAAATGCATTGGCGCTACCACTAGGCCAACTAAGACGGAACCTGGATTTTGTGAAGGTTCGATAAAAAGCCAAGTTGACAATATGTGAGCAAAATTTTTTACGGAAAAAAGTCTAGTTCCCGATTATAAGACACTTGCTTTCACAAAAATAACACAGAGGCGAGGCTGAAATTTGCACCACATGCGCCACACAAAGCCACCGACTCATTTTGATGAAAATCTGAGGCAGAAAACAACAGCCAGTATTGATCTAGCTTTAAAAACGTCGAATTGCGCTACAATATAACCAGTAGAAAAAATAACAGTCAGAAAAATTTCCGTAAAATTAAGTTGAAAAATTAAAATGAAAAAGTTTAACTGATAAGATTTGTAAGATTTAACTTATATTTAACTTGAAATTATAAGAAACATTTCATTGACAATTTAAAGGCCCAAAAATTACATACCTTCTCCAATCGGCTTTTAATCCCATGCGAGTCAAATCATTCATAGCAATGGGTGGAAAGTAACTCAGCCAATAGTTTTCATCAGCAAACTTCGGAATATCTGTTTCAGGAATTCCAATAGCTTTCATTATCTGCCATTGGTACTTAACGCCACCTGTTTTCGCCACTACTTTACTTTTCTTCGCCTTGCCGATGTTCGCAATTCCAGCTTGTACATCGGTCTCCTTCTTTTCCACAATTTCGTCTTTTTCGTCGGGAAACACAGGTGGACTTCCATACAATTGCATCTCCTTCACCAACTTATCTGCACAAGCTTTGATGGGCATTCCAGTACAGTGGAACCCGAAAGGGTAGAGAACGTTCTTTCCAAGTAACCTTTCAAATCCAGCGGCAAACTCGCATTTAGAAGCAGTGAAAGCGTGGCCGAGATGCAAAACGCCGTTCATATAAGGATAGGGGAAAGTACACAGGTACTTTGGCTCAGAACCATCTGACGGTGCATCGATCTCAAACACTTTCATAGACTTCCATTTTGTTTGAACGTTCTCCTCAATTTCTAACAACACTCCGAGTTTTCCAGTACCCTTTCTTTCAAGTATCTGCTTGCTAGTCATATGTTCTAAAACAACGTTAAAAAATGAATACACGCGGCGCTTCGCACAAAAGGGGAAAACTAAAAATTCACTGTAAATTCTATATGCTGGCTTGGTGGCACTGGTGGCCAGAGGGTTTCTTCCGCTGTATACTTGCTTTGCCCACTTTGAGCAAATAAAACTGAGCAAAAAAACCTTCAAAAATTTTGGTTTGAAGCATGGAATATGCAATGATATGCTAAAAGTTTGTTTTGAAATAGCAGAAAGTTAAGAAGCCAGGGAAACTGAACTGACGTTTGGTTTAAACTAGCAGAATGTGAGGAAGCCAGGGAAACTGAGCAATTAAGGAAAAAAGACAATCGTCGAGCGGCTGTAACATTCGCCCGGAAGTACCTACCGACGGAAAACAAAGCTACGTCCTAAATTGACTGGCTAAGGGTCTAAAAACAGCTTCACATGCTTTTAACCGTCTCTACCAAAGCTAGTTCAATGGGTGGTCATTAACATCGGGTCGACAAAGTCGTTACAACTTAAAGGCTATCGGCCAATCGGCGCAAACTAACATAGTTACATGGAAAATTAGTGAGCTCATGGCTGGGTCTCAGTATCCCCAGAACTGCAAGAAATCTTAATCTGATGTTAAGTTAAAATCAATTCAGGCCATTCCGGGAAGCTGAAACATGTTTAAATGTATATCTCTCAGTTCACTGAAGACCCTTCCGCATTCGTGGTCTTCACCATATAAGCTCTCTCTTCAGCAACGCAAAGGGTTGCAATCGCGGCTCTCAGTCCTCTCGATTGACAAAGTTAACACGGTAACGATTGTGACAGCAAAAATTGAATAAATTATTTCGTCAATCCAAATCGACCCCTCAGAATACGTTCAATTGGAAGATTAACACCACTAATTGTTCAAAACATCCAATTCTCCCAGTGGACTGTACAAACAAAAATTCGTTGGCAAAAAACTTTTTCGGTCAATCTGGTCGAATGTTACAAAATAAACCAAAGTTGACTTATCAATGAAAACCAAAGAATCATTTTTAAGAGAACTGCAATCCATTGGAAAAACTCTAATACGTAAGCAGAGTGGAAGTAAAAGACAAGGAGAGCAAAAAGGACGCAAATACTGCATACATGACGTTTAAATGCAGTTCGTTCATACTGGATGCATGTCATTCATATACTGCAAGAAACCTGTGGACAAAGATGTTAACGGGGGAAAAGTATAGTGCCCGATTGCAATGCCCTTGCGTATTGCAAGGGTAGTTATAAAAATTTTTGACATGGATTTAGCCATTGATCGCGAACATCTGTGACCTTAAGATTCACGTATCGTTTTACCTCATTTCCTTTTGTCAATGTTCATGTGCTGATACTAATTACTACGCAGTATTCTCATAGGTTTTCCATTATGCGGCCTTTGAGAGCAACTAGAATTGAGCTGCAATATAGCCAGTAGGGAAAAACAGTCAAAAAATTTTCCGTAAAATTGAGTAGAAAAAATAAAATGAAAAAATTACTTGAAAATTTAACTGATAAGATTTACAAGAATTAACTTCACAGTCAGAAATAGAGAGCAAATAGGACGCAAATACTGCATACATGACGTTTAAATGCAGTTCGTTCATACTGGATGCATGTCATTCATATAGTGCAAGAAATCTGTGGACAAAGATGTTAACGGGGAAAAAGTATAGTACCCGATTGCAAAACTCTTGCGCATTGCAAGAGTAGTTATAAAAATAATTGACATGGATTTATCCATTGATCGCGAAAATCGGTGACTTTAAGTTTCACGTTTCGTTTTACTTCAGTTCCTTTTGTCAATGTCCATGTACTGATACTGATTACTATGCAATGTTGCCATAGGTTTTTCAGCCTGCGGTCTTTGAGCGCAACTTGGTCGTAGAAATAAACGCAAGATTGAAGGTTTTTGAGAACTTGGATGTTCGATGCCAGAAGATTTGTTCTGCGACTGATTCTGTGTTTTACAATTGACAATAACAGATCGTTCTGATATAGTACTGTAGATATAATTATATAATCACCGAATACACAACAAACACCGAATACAAAACAAACAACAAATGTGGGATGAACCATTGAGGATTGAAAAGAGAGGGGGAATGCACTAACAGCAAAGGAACAAAGGAGCGCCAGAATTGGGAAGGCAAAAACGTAATAAACTGCACAAGACTAGATGGCCCGACTGACAATCATAGTGGCGTTTCCTCTCATGAGGCACACTGAGAGGCTCTGGAGAAGGCGAACTGGGGCAACACGATCGTCACGTGAACCAAAACGTCTGGCATCAGCGAGGATAGCAACTGACTTGATTCTATGAAACAGATCAAGTTGGTCGCATCTACGTTGTGATAGGTTTGAAAACACTTAGACAGAAAAAGAAGGTATAATAATTGTACAAAGTTTAAGTGGAACCTTGGTTGGTAACAACTCGATTTGATATCCGATTTAATTTTAAATAATTTGAAAGCTAGTTGTGTTTTTTCTCGCTGTCATGTTGTTTTTTTTCGCAAATCGACAATTAGAATCGTAGAGAAAAACGAGAACCATAACTGATTTTTATAAATTCATAATTGTCGATAAAGTCATATTTTGAAATTTTCTTTTCAACATAAAAATGACTTTCAGAGCTTTCGAGCTATTCGATTTGTTGGAAGGACTTTTCTAAAAGTGATGATGCGTAAACGCCTCGATCTTTTTGTACTTTTACTTTAGGCGTTTCTTCATTGTTGAAAAACTTTAACGAGCCTTAATGAGCACACGCCTTAACGAGCATTCGCTGATCTCTACTCTAGTGGGTGAACACATGACACAATGCGTTGGCAACACGGAAAATTTGATGGCAAAGATCAAAGACCGATCTAACGACCCTGTCAAACTTTTAACACTTGAGGCCCTCCACATCAACCGACTCAAACCAAAGATCAACAGAAAAAAAGGATACAGGTCGCGCGATTTCACAGTTTAGGTTTAAAAAGACATCTTTATTGTCCCATCAAAGATAGCTGAAAGACATCTATATATCTTTTAGATCTCTCGGTGCTATTTTTATACCGTTTTTCATTTTTGATTTTATTTCTGTTTGTACACTTTGGATTGTACGTTTTTTGTTTTTCATTTTCTAGACTGATGATGATTGTAATCAATCGAAAACATTCTCTTAACTAACGTTGTTTGTTTTTCCTGAGCATGAAAAACAATATTTTCTGCGACGTAGAGTTCATTTGCACATTCGCTGACATTTAAATTTAGGTTTTAAACCGTACTCAACGTAAAAACTCTTTTTAAATCTGATTGGAAAAAAAATTGGCCCTACTTTAGTAAAAGCAGAGTCGTCATTCTAACTGTGTAATTGTGTTGATATTTCGTTTTTATTGATCAGGAGAAAAATAGGAAGAAAAGGGTTTTGTGAGAGTCCACTGGTAATGTTTTGATCGTTTGATACTTTAATCTTATTTCGGATTAAACGTTTCGCTAGATGAAAACAATTTTCGTAACTTTACAAGAGTTTTTACCAATACCCAGACTCAGATAAACAACGTAGGAGTACCTTAAAATTGAACCCTATTGAAAGCTTTTTCGTAGTCCGTTAAAACAGTTTCTGCATTGTCTTCTAATAATGATTACGTCATAAACCGTTCTGAAGTAGATAACCAATTGTATTATTGTAGCAGTTATGTCACGTATGAAGTTAGGTCACGTATGAAGTTAGGAACGATAGTTTCTACAGCTCCTAATAGCTAGTAAAGTGGATTATTAAATTATGTTTTCATTGTAGCAGTAAAGTCACGTATGATGTTAGGTCACGTATGAAGTTAAGAGTGATAATTTAAATTATACATAAGATTGTAGCAGTTAAGTCACGTTTGATTTTAGATCACGTATGAAGTTAGGAATGATAGTCTCTATAACTAATAGCTGCCAAAGTAAACTACAATTTCATTATCATTATTCATTAGTTTTTGACGTTTTCATAAAATTTAAGCTTCCAATTGATGCTAAGTAAAGTTCATAAAAACACGGTTAAAGCCGTTTTTCAGGTTTAAATTTTCAATTAAAAAACTGGATGATTTTATAAACGGATGCCAATCACAAGTGGTGAATTGTTACGAATAACGCTTATTATTGACTAAACTTGCCTAGTTTGTTGAAACGCAACGTTTTACAAATGAAAAAAAAGTGTTTTGAGGTGCTTTGACTTTCAGTGGCTTGACTTACAGTGGCTTTGACTTTCAGACTAGGTGGATCAAACCTTAATTTTAATTAAAATAGTATACGCATAATGTTTTCAATAAGACCGATCGTTTCGATCAAACCAGCGACTATGAACAGGTGCCCGAGCTAGGGGCGTTGAAAGGGTTTTGAGACAGCTTGTGACATCAGCGGAACACTGTGAGACTTGACTGGAACAGGTTACAAGCCAAGTGGCAAAGTTGACCTGTGAGTGTGACTTGACCACTGGGAGACTTGACTGGAACAGGTGACCAGCCAATCGGGTTAGTGGTACTCCGGATAGAGATCTCAGAGACAGAGGACACCCGACCGGGAAAGAGACATCCAGCAGTGTGATCAAAGGAGAACAGAGCAAGCGGAGGAAGGTTCTGTTTGGTCAAACGAGTATCGTTAAAATCCATTTTACATAATAGGAAATAAGCGTAAAATTGAATAAGCGAAATCCCACTGATTTGAGGAAACGTTTTTACTTAAGAGCTTGGAAACTGGTTCTGTGGTTTTCTCTCGGGAGGCTTAGCACCCAGCCCGCTCAGGGTAAATTTCGGCTTAAGTGGGGTGCTAGACAGAGGGGAGGATAGCAGGGGGCTGGTTAAGTTAGAGGTTAGTGGTTAAAATTGTAATAAGGGAGGCTTAATTATAATAGCTGAACAATCGAAATCGTTGATTAAGTTTAATTAGAACAACCGAGTTGAAGACTCACAACAAGAATAGCAACGCGAAGGTACTCGAAATCGAACTCGTATTAAAGTAGGTAACCTGGCCC